TTAGCTCATTTAGCAGACGCTTTAGCGACTTACAAGTGAGGGACATCACTAAAGCTTCAGTGCAATAGGAAACCTTGGTGTAAGGACTAAGTACTACGTCTGTTCAACAAGTGCAGGGAGATCAGGTAAAGACGTGCACCAAAAGTGCATAGTAAGTGCTAGTTAGGCATGTTGAGGTGCTAGAGAAGGTGCTCTCGGAAGAGATGAGTCTTCAAGAGATTTTGAAGATAGACAGGGAAGCCCCTGCTTGTCATAAATAGACTAAATGGGATGTATGAGGGTGGGTTTTACCCTTTTTTGTAATGAAGAAGAAACTGATATTAGCTCTATTACAGTTGGAGAAACTACCAAAATCTGCATGTATGGGTTTCTTTTAATGTGTGTTTAATGTAAGTGCACGTGATTGACACAGAAAGAGTGTAATATTTCAGACAAATAAATACAAAATGGATATCACTGACCAGCGACCAAAATTCCATATGCTCATTCATGTTTAGCTGATAGAAGCAGACACAGTACGAAAGCAGCTGCATCAGTAATAGCATCAGCTACATCAGCCAACCTGATCAACTCACTTCACACAAATCATTCATTGTGAACTGAGGTGGCCCTCCTAACATGGTGCAAAAAAGGCCTTTAGGCGACATCCATCTCACCCCTCCGTCCCCATAAGCCAGTCTCACGTGTCATCAGTGTTTGCAAACAGTTAAGAAAAGTCAATACTTCCGGACACTGATGCAATGACGGGTCAAATATAGCAGAGGACACATCACGCTAAGACTAGTAGGAACGTGTGGGCAGTCCAGACTGGATTAATTGGTTACGTTTTGAGGGCCAACAAAGAGACCAGTGTTGTCGGGCTTAAAGAAAGCAGCTACCATTTAAAATATCAATAAGATTAGTGGGTTTCCATGACTAAAGCACCTTGTGCTCATGTACCACCAATCAATACTAATTAGCTAAACTAAGTTAAAATGATTCAGGTGGAATCATAGGTTTGTCTCAAATCATTCAGTTTGGGCCATAGCAGAATCTGGTATAGAACTTATCTCTCTATCTTTTCCCTCTGCAGAATTCAGATCACTGAAGAGCAGCAGTACTGGTGGTTTAGGCTAGGAAATGCACATGGTCCTCTCTCCAGGCTTCCATCTTATTATCCTTCAGAAACATTAAATAGGCCTCTGCAGATGATGCATGTGTATATGTTTGTGTGTGCGTGTCTGCAGAGGTGATTTTGTAAGTGAGCAGGAAAGTGAGGTTCCAGGTTTTTGAAACATGAGTGAATACTGCACAGGGAATGGTAGACATAACATCCTACTCCAAGAGGCTAGCAAAGGGGGGTGGGGGGGACTACCCTAGTTGTGCTGTATTTTATTCCTGCCTCCACCAGCAGTGATTAATTCTGTCCTGAGGGGAGGTGGTGACATGACCTACTACTCCATGGCTACTACATGACATTTCTACTATCTTCTAACTATTACAGCCTGACCGTTGGTGGAGTGGCAAATTGTTATTTAACGAGTTGATCAAAATGTTTGTGCTTATGGGGTTTGGCATTGTTTTGCTGCCGGTAAGATGCTCAGTCAGAAGCACATTACCTCCTATTCTGTCAATATACAGAAAGGATTTGAAGAGCAAAACCTGCTCAGCACAATATGGAGTCTGCCGCCCTAAGACAACTTAGTCAAAAAAAAATGGATGGGACCAGAGTGAGGATTTAGCTCAGTGCCCTCTAAAATTACCCAAAGAAATTGAGACATGGCACTCAAAGAGGAATAAAACATGGACTCAAAAACATCTGTGATCTATAACAATTTTTCTTAAGTGAGACACTGATATGTGTCCTAAGATAATCTAGAGGCATATAGGGTAATCGTCAAATATTAAAAAATGTTTTTATATATATCATAAATATATTATATTTTCAGTTTTCAAGATTAAATGTCAAACATTGACCTGCCAAAAAGCAAGTAACAATAGAATCTATGCTTTAAATAAGGGGGAAAAACATACAGGCAAACACTGTGTCCCACAGCCCAAAAGCTGTTTCATGGATCATTTACCAAGAAGGATATAAAGCAAACATCTTGGAAGCACATGCCCTGTGTGTTCCCTTAGCCTGTGAAACAGATGAATGTATTACAAAATGTGAGCTGAGATTGGAAAATCCTGCAACATTAAAAACGAAAAATAACAAAATAAAAAAATCAGACTCCACACTGATGATAGCCAATTTTTATGTTGGATATTTATGTGAAATATCCATATTTTTAACTGCTGGTACAATTGTTTGTTGATAATACTGTAGCTCTTGAGCATTTGATTGGAATAAGAATTTAACAATCAGGTTGGGAATTGAGCATTTAAAGGAAGGACAGGCAATGCTGAAAGATCAATTTGAACAATTCTACAAACTTGTATACAGGAGCAGGTTCATCACAAGAAATGTGGTCCCAGGTCAGGTGGAATATGACATCCTGCTAGCATGAGTTGACCCGGTGGGTCTCCTCTGAGCTCGAAGTGCCAGAAAACCTCCACCAAGAGGTGTTCGGGCATGCTATTAAGATCCCCAAACTAACTTCACTGAGCAGTGGTTCCTCCAAGCACTTTCTGGAAGTTCAGTCAGCCAAGACACCCTGCTAGAGAAATGCATTTTCTTCCACCTCATTTCTGTGATTCAAGTGTAGAAAAATGGTCCACTGTTCCACAATCAGAGTGGATTTTGTGTAAATGCTCTTGTATCTGTTGTTCAATAACTGGCTGAAGCCTCATTTCCAGCACCTTGGCTTAAGATTTCCACAGGAGGATAAGCAGTTTAATATCACAGTAACTGAAGAACATTGTGTCGCAACACTGTCAACCAAGACAGCCCAACAACATAACAATATTTAGAGCCCTTTGTCTTAAAACTTTGCATGAGTTTCTCAATGTGTTCCTCCCACACTGCTCAGTAATATCCCCAGTTGAGCTAAGCAGTCCTCCTCCCCTGCAGAGAGGAAGCTCCTATTCCTCCTTGAGTCTTATGACGGTTTGCCCGAACCTTGTAGTGGCCAACTAAAAGTCTGTCTTCATGAACTCCCCAAGCTCCTTCCACACTCAAGGTTTTGCTTCTGCAACAACAGAAGCTACAGTCCTTGTGAACTCCAGATTCTTGTCTGCTGATTCACAATTCCCTGGGGCAAACCAAGCCTGAAAACCTTCCTTCTTCAGCTTTACAACATACTTCAGTGATGGTGCGCTCCAGCAGGTAATCAGGCACCGAAAACCTCCAGTCACAACTCCAAAAGACAAATCAGCAATGGAGGCTTTGACCATGGCACACTAGGATATCGTGTCCTCATCGTCCACTGAGATGCTAAAATAATTTTACCAGAGGTGAGAGTCGGAGACTTTGTGCAAAGGGGCTTCAGCCAGACAACTGTACATTTGGGCTTAGTGGATTTTGCAAAAGCAATGGCTTCTGCCACCCCTTGATCCAAATAACAACCAGATGTTGATCAGTCGACATCAGTATGCTAAACGTGGCACACATTATGAACAGCCCATGACTAGTACAGAAGTATAATAACAAAACCTTCCTCAGGTTCACATTAGACAGGATATTGTGCCCAATCAACCCCCTCGTGGCTTCTCAATTATCACCCACACAAGTCTTGAAGTCCCCACACAAAAACATGGAGTCCACTTACTGTCGCCTTACTTGAACGCACCCAAAGACACTAAATAGGCTGGAAACCCCAAACTACTGTCCTGGGGGCACAAGCAACAGTCAGGGCCTTTCCCTCAGCAACATGCTGGGGGGTTACCACCACCAACACTATAACTATTTGTTGCATCTCACCCAAGGCAACTTTGTAACAGGAGATGGGGTTGACCCACATGGCATAGCCCCATGTTATCTGTTAGGGCAGCGCCTTACTATGCTCAGCTGGGACTCGCCAGCAAGCTCTTGTTCAAGGCCTGGCTGCAGGAGGAGGCCTTGGTTTCCGTGTATTGGATGAGGTTTCTCTTTTCCCAAAACATCAATTTATTGAGATCTTTTGATCGCTCTTAGTTTGGCCCCTCACCGGGGACCAATTTGCCTTGGGAGACCTGACCTGGGTCTGCTGCCTCTAACAACACCGCTCCCAGGTTCACAGGAGCACAAACACCACCACCACTAGAAAGCAGTCTGTTATCAAATTAAGTAGAGCCCGACCGTTTTATCGGTCCGCTGATTTTATCGGCCGATATTGGGCTATCACAGATATATCAGTATCGGCGCATATATTCTCCGATATGCGCTAACATGAAGACTTTTATTAAGAAGCAATAATGCAGTGGAAATGCTCGGGTCAAGTCAAGTTATATAGGCAGCATTTATGTATATGAGATCCATTGTTCTCATTCAAGTTAAGTGTATAGATATATATATATATATATATATATATATATATATGTATATATACACACACATATTTGTTCTCATTTTTTTTTTTTTAATTATAATTATTCATTTTTATAATTATTTTATTTAATTCCCAGTGAAGTTTACCGTTTCAGTGCACTGATGTCATTTTGGACAATAAAGTTTATTGTTAAACTGTAAAATATCCTGCTTTCATCGATAACAGAATTTTTTTTACTCCCTAATATCAGTATCGGCCCCAAAAATCCAATATAGGTCGGGCTCTAAAATTAAGAGACTGACAAATTTATAAAAATGATGATGATACACACAGTAGTTAGAGCTCAGCTCTGAAACCACCCATTTAGACTCTCTAACAATCATGTCAGGCCCCATAACAGAGCCATCCATGTGTATTTTATCTAATGGTGAGTATGTGTCTATACAATTAATAAATGCAAAACTACTATTTCTGATTGAGACAGAGATGTTTGTTTTACAAATATGTGGAAGATGCTGTGCTTGTCTGTGAAAATCAAACTGAAGTTAATTGAAGTTAGTGATGCATGGGAAGGAATAAACAAACAAGAGTGCTGTAAACAGGCTAGGTCACCTGGTTTGGCGTCCTTGCAGCAGGCTTGTCCTGGTGGTTGGCAAGGATGAGGAAAGGCAGTGTGCAGAGCTGTGGGTGCTGCAGGGCTGAGTGGAGCTCATTTCGTGCTGCCTCAAGGTCTTCATCTGATGACGCGCTGTCCAATACAAAGACTACACCCTGTGAGCCTTGGTAGTAACGACTCCAATATTTCTTGATGTTGTCAGCTCCTGTAGACAGAAGTGATGCCATTAGAGGTGTCATAAGTGATGTTACTGCTGTCATATGACAACCTAACAACAGAAATGCCAATAGCTCCTGTAGAAGAATGCTGTGCATCATCAAACACTATTAATATCGCTATTGTCAAGTAAAGGACTTGCTACAGTACAAAACCATTTTATTTTTTGTATTAAATAGCATGTACCTTGTTGAAATCACCATACTGGAATTTATGTATCACAGCCTCAGTAACCAAGAACATCAAGAAATTTTCCAGGTAAACAGACGTTACAATAAAAATCCAAGCTAATGCTGCTGTAATGTGTGGAATGATGTTGATTAATTTGAGGAAAAATAATCATGTTACATTCAATTTTAAAAGTCAAACATCCACAGTATTTCTCTAAAACCAAAATCACAAATTTTTGTGGTATAAAGTTCAAACCACCTCTTTTCATGCCTAATTTCTCAGCTGCTCTTCAAGTCATTGTCAAGACACAGGAGAGATTTCCAAAGTCCTTGAAGTAAATACATACAGTGACTGGATTATTCAAATGGAGTCTGGGTTTATTTTCAAGGCTACCCAGACATTGAGTTCATTGTGAACCACATATGGTTCCTTTTTTGTGTGCTAATTTGGAGTAAGAACATCCACTTACAATGATTTAGTTCAAAGCAAGTTTATTTGTTAGTGTAAGTAACTTGAGGAAGAGACCTACTCACACTCTGCTTCCACTACCAGCCCATCCTTTCTCTTTATGACAGCGTAGGCGATGATTTTGAAGAGGAAAAAAAAAAAATCTAGGAAAATGTTTATAAACACTCTTTTCTATTATTCTCATGGAAAAACCCCCATCAACATAAGAGCACCTACTTTGTAGGATTGGTCGGCACTGATCCAGCCCCAACAACTGCCTTGAACATAACCTTAGTCATTTTCACCTGAAGCAAAACATTACCATGTGATTATTAGAGCTTAATAGGGCTAGTTCACTGACTTGGACTTTTCCTGACAATTTAAGGAGAATAAATTCCCTGTACAAAGTTTGTAACCATGCCTCTCTCAAAAAACAATCCTCTCAATTTGAACACCATTTCCCAAACCCAAAGTCATAAACAGAATCAGTCTTATGGAGCTGCAACACAAACTCCGGCTTAATGTTTTGTCTGTAAACCGGACACCTATAGCACTCAGACACTGAAAATGCTCTCCATTTTTACAAGCACCTACAACCTTTCCTCTTGCCAACCAGAAAGCATATATGAAAAAAGGTCATTACACTGCTATTCAGTGCATGCAAAAAATAAATAAAAGAAATCAGTGTTTTTTTGAAGTCAGGAATGACTTCCCAACGACAGCTGCTGCTGTCACCCTCTATTCATTGATGCTGACATACTCACTCAACACCACAATCCTTGATATGCTAGTCATATCCTCCGTGTTACTCATGCTCCTGTAGCATTGGGACATGTTGTGACAATCAAAATCCATCCATTGTAACCATGGTCGCTGATCTCTCTTAATGAGGAAAATACAAACTTTCAAGCCAAGAGGAGGTGAGTTTCAAACTCCAAATTTGAGATGGGATGTTACTTTCAGTGTAGAGGCAGTAATATAGCTCATCCTCTCTATGGAATTAAAAAAACATTACAATATCTTAGGGTTAGGGTTAAAAAAAATTGTGCAACAATTTGATATTTCTTTATCAAGATGTTCAAGTAAGGCAAGGTTACAACTCATGCCATACAATGCAAACTGCTTATTGCAATTCTTGCAGTACATCTGTATTTTGCCACCAAAAGTCCCTTTCCTGTCTCAAATGTGCCACAGTATAGGCTGTTGTAATTTCAGATTTATAATTTGCTAATATAAAAAAACTTGTCTCTTGCTCTTACACTTTGATTACATTTTGTTTAAACTCAATTGCATGCTTTCCTTTCCATAACATGTTTACCATTAAATTGTTCTAAATGTTTATTCTACACATTTTTTAGAGGATGAAATTTCTCTGGTTAAAATTATCCTCCTCCTTCTGGTGAGGTTACTTCCTTTGCAATCTTGTGAACTGTTGTTTTGTTATTGTTGCTCATAGTAAGGTAACTGCCAAGAAGTGACGAACTGTGAGGCTGGCAAATGTTTAAACATCACGAAGTGCTCTCAGTGACATTTACCTCCTCCCCTCATGTTCTCCCCTCCCTTCCTTGTTTCCTCCCCCACTCTTTCTACTCACACCTCTCGCTGGAGTGAAAAGCTATCAGACAAAGTGGCACTTGAGAGATTGACGAGGAAGTTTCTCTCATCTTTGCCTGGAAATGGTGGAATGTCCATCACGTCTCATTGGATCTCGTTGGCAACTTCTGCCATCTATTGGTCTAACAGGAGGATTTCCAAACATGATGTCATGATTCTTGAGGATGCTGGCAACTCTACTACATATCATAATTATTCAAAAAAAGTGCACAATGAGTAAGACCTCATTCCTTTGCTTGTTTTTCTCTCTTCCTTTCTACTTTTTTGTGTATAAATCCTCTATATAGCTTGTAACTATAAAAAAATCATGTTTAATACTTACTATAGAATCCACTCAAATGTAATTAGCCAAAGGTCAACAGAACGGCACATAAAGTCATGTTTTTTACTGACCCTGTCCAGTACTGACTCATCACTTGAAAGACTACAGCCTCATTCTTTCACCGTATGGGTTTTGACCATATGAATGAAATAATAAAAGGCTCAAGCATAATGAATTACCTAACTGAACTAAATTTGGGAAAGTATGTAAACAAATAAATGGAGAAATATGAATTAACTCATTACATATATACATATCTTTAATGTATCTATGCTCCCTAACCTTCTCTTGTCTGCTTCTAACTTAAGTTACAACTCATACCTCCCAGAATGTCTGTATGCCTGTATGTCTGTTTAAGAAAACATATTAATCCATGCTGTGATTTCTATATTTCTGACACAATGAAAAAAAACATGTGATATCAGTCCGTGATGTCATAATAACTCTCTAGGATCAAACTGATAGAAATCTGATCTGAGGAAAACACCCTGACCAGCCCACCCTTCCCTCCTCCTCTCACTCAACCAAGTCAGACTTTTTCAAATTTCTGTAGCAGATGAGGCTGAAACAAGCAGTGCAATTACTTATTCAATGTATTGCATTCAATATATGAACATTTATGCATGGTTTGAGGTCAGGGAGATATGAATCTTGATGATTCTATCGTATGTAGATGTGTTATTTATGTGCTTTCTTTGTATATGTACAGCCAACTGCTACAAGCTGCTGTTATGTCAAACACTTACCAGGGTACCACTCATCACTGATGCAGCCAACTCTCCCTGCCCATGCAACATTTCTTATGATTCTTTTTCGGTTAAGTTGTTGGCATTTTGTGCTTTTGAATTCTGTCAAGTAAAGCTTGAAGCTGTAGTTTTCAGAAAAGATCAAATTAATTAATTAATTAAAGTTATTTTTCAATCAAAAATGATACACAATACTTGTGGGGATTTGGTGTTTTTCTTTCTTGCTGTCATTTTTTGGACTGTTGCTTGGCAAATTAGTTAATTAATCAAGAAACCAGTCAATAGACTAGTCGATAATGAAAACAATCATTAGCTGCTGCCCTAGGAGGTTTATGTTTATGATAAAATGATGAAATACTACAACTTAGAAGCAAGCACAGTAGTACATTTTGTACCTTATTTACTTCATAATAAGAAAAACAGTATACTGTTTCAATTTGGAAAGACTAAAACATAACACTCTCTTGTTGTGGTCTTTTTGATTACATCTATTTAGGCAAAATTTGATTCTGTTAAGGAATTGCAGGTTTTCAGAGACACTATTTGAGACAAAAAGTTAAGCTGATAACATGTTGTGAAAATCTTGTGAAAACATGGAGAACAGTACATTTTACAATTCTGAAGAAGTTGTGATGCTAATTGTGCAGGAAGATTTGAGTGCTGGAAAAGCAGACATCTGCTGGTTACACAAACACAAGTGGCAAAAACTTTCTTGCGATCAGGTTACTTATTTTTTCACCAAAGTGTGGCTATGAGTTACTAAACCAAACTTAGAGTCAAATGCCAGTAAAACATAAGTAAACAATTATACAGCAAAAATTAGAAGCAGATAGTCTTGTGCTTGTTCAGATTCACTTTCAGTTGTGTTTGATGGCTGATGTTTCTGAATTACTCTGCAAATTTAAACAGCTTGTGATGGTCCATATTTCAAAAATAAATCAACATAGTTGAAAAGCTATTACCCTATATTTCTTTTTGGTCTAACGTGGGCTACTGTTGAGGCTTGTTCTGTTTGTTGTTGGGTATTGATACACGGATGGTTTCAGTTTCACAGTCATCCTGAACGCCACTTTCTTATACATTTCTGCCTCCTATCGTTGACACTTTTGCCAACTTTTACCTTGAACAAAACACAAATATGTTGCTAATCAGGTCTTTTTTCACTCTTGAAAGTTGAAACACTGAAAGCAACCCTCTTTGAAGTCACCCTAACGAAAAGCAGACAGTGTTTTTTCCCTGAACAAAACAGCTACAATACAGTGATGGGAGGGAACGTTGGGACTAGTGAGGGAGGCCTCTAGTAATAAAGTTTGCTTATGTCATTGAGGAATGAGCTGGGGTTGGGGCTGGAGTGAGGTGGAAAACACTTCAGCTGTTGATATACCCATCCACCTGCAGTCTCAGCAGTGCCTGTTTTTAAGTAAACAGTTCCTGTGTGAGGCCTAGCCCGAGACACACGTCAGTCCCTCTCATTTATGCACATAATTGACATATCTGGTTTACAGAAATGCGGCACCTCTAAATATTTGAGATAAATATGTTGTGCTACTGTATTTAAATAATTTGGCTGTAACCTTTGTTATTTATATTAGACTTCACCCAACCCGCCATAGACTGCCATATAGTCGATGGATCAACAGAAAACCTAACATCAAATAGGGTAATATCCTTGAATGAGGCCTCAAATAGATCAGTTGCTCCAAAAACAGAACAACATCTGCAACTGCCAGCATTTGCTTTAAACCCAAATGACAATTTACAAATAATTTTGCTTTTGGTCAGGTCTTCTCCTGTGCAAAGGAAAAGCTTCCCTGCTGGGCAAAGTAACACACACTGTGGTCCTGTTTGATAGAAATAAGAACCACATGGTGTCTGCAATGACTACAATGTCGTGGTTTTGTTCTGAGATGTGATCATATACTTCCTTTGCCTGTTGGTGGTCATAGACAACTGGTAAAGGTTCTGTGATGTTCTTGCATCCTGTTCATCATCCCTCATGTGCACATGATAGACCAATAATGGATGATAAGATGAACTCTATACATGTTCCAGGAACTGCAGTGACAAGTTCAAATTTACACAAATCTATCACATTCAGTTCATGTCCACATGTATATGTTCATATGCTCACCTACAAGAAAAAGGCATATAATCCTTTGAATTGGAGCATTGGAGAAACATCTTTTATTATAAACTGTCTAATTTCAAGGATCGTGGAATATAAAAAAGAATTGGAAATCCTAGTGACAAATACTGTTTAAACAAGAACACTGCATATGCAAATATTTACAACTCCACTTCAAATCAAAAGCGTAAACTCTTAACCACAGCCCCAACACTAAGGAACAGCAACGAGTGGTGATTATTAGGACCACTTCTTCATCAGCTGTCATTGCGTGGCATGAATGCACACTGTGAAATGGCCCGTCTAGACTTGACGTCATGTCACTGTCGAGACATATACACACACACATTCACACACACATACACACACTTAATAGATTCCTCCCTGTGTCCCCGGAGGTGCCCTTCCCACCTAATCCCCATACCTGGCACCAGCTGGGTAAAAAATGTTTGCCGGACTAAAGATCACCAGATGTAAAATTCTCAATGTCGACAGAATGAAAAGCCTTTATTACTCTTGATTCGAATGAGTACAAAGAGCTTTCATTTTACAATTTTGCAGTTTAGCTACAGTATTGCTGCAAAAGTATCAACCTCTTCATGCTGGGCATCTTAGAATAAAAATGCATCGCTCTCTCTGGGTATTGATTTAATTCCTGAGTAAATTTACTTGAGAGAAAGTAATACAAAGTGCCATGCAGGTGACACTTGTATGGCACAAGATGATTTCCTCCTAACACTTTCTACTATTGAACACTACCTTTTACCTTATCTCTAAACCAAGGCTGGCATAATGATATTTTTTTATCTGAGAGAAAACCCGGTCTGTAGTGAGACCACACAGTTTGTCTTTTAGTGTGCACATGTGCTTGAATCTTACAAATAGTCTGCTGTTCAGCTGTGGTACCAAATTATTTGGACATATTTATTTCAGTTAAAGCGTCAGTCAGACTTTGGATTTAATTATGTCACAGCTGTCACAGCAATACTTATCCTGTTTCAAATTTTTGTCATTCACATGCACATGTGAAAAAACCTAGTTAGAAAATCTGTTATCCATATACATGAACAAGAATAGGGTTTCTCCAGGAGAAATCTAGCTGTGTTAACCAGGTTTTTCTTAACCCTTTATTCCTATTAAGAGAACTGGGTTTCTTGCTTACAATAACCAGGTTATTTATGTGCATGTAAACACACAATATGACAAGACAGGCAAGTCCTGTCTGATAGCGACTGTGAGGCAGTGACCCTTTATCAAGGCCAGACAATGTGTTCAAATCAATAAGCAAAGAAAGCTTGAGAGAGGGTGTGAAGGCTGAAAGAGAGGAAAAATATAGACAAAGACACTAAAACTAAAAGCTAAATCTAGAAACAATGGAAGGAAGAAGGTATGGGAAACAGAGAAGAAGGAAGAAAACAGAGACAGAAACCAGAGCTGAAGATGAGAAAGAGAACAAATGAAAACAAGATGGCAGGGACCTCAATGACAAATGCATCATTGAGACACACGTATAGCCCAGTCTGAATCATTACAGACATCATACATCAGGGTTGCCTGCACATAAGCTGCTTTGTGCCTATGGTTTAAAGGACAGCTTGCACTTACAACAATCTGGCCCAGTGCACTCAAGGCAGGGAGAGTTAAAAATGCATTACCCCGCTTAGCAACAATACAAGTTACAGCTGTGAGTCAACTGCACTTACATGGGTTCATAGCCTGCAAAATTTTAATGACAGAGAGAACTGGCTCCCAAGCCACCTCCAAGTGCCATGTAAGGATCACTTCTTTGTGCCTTAAATGTTCCTTCCAACCTCCAGCACTTCAGGTCACCTGCATAAGACTTGCTTTACATTTCATACTGTAAAGGGAGAATACCTCATTGACATTCAGTGGGCTTTCCGATGGGAGAGGAAGGAAATACAAGGGAAGTGCTTCACTTCTTCACACTAAACACGGTTCTTCCCTTGCCTTAGTCAAGGCTGAGTGAAGAGTACAAGCCACAAAGGTATTGTGTAAAACAAGTTTTTTTGGGGTCAGGAATACTGATGTCTGTGCGTCACATCTTGTATCATTTTTCTGCATCATTGATGCAGTGCAAAATAACATAAAACTAAACCAGCCATGTTTGCTTGTTTTAAAGCCATAGGGAAAGGGGAGAAAAAAGACTACTGACAGAAATGGGAAGTGTTGAGTAAGGTACAAACCGTGCGGAAAGGGGCCACTTTAATCAGAAAACGCTCGTTATAAAAACTGACCAGTGGAACATTATGCAAGCGCACCAACTCTCCTGACTCTACATTTACGTCATTTACATTTAGAACAAGAAGTGTACGCCTTCACTCAGCCAAACAAAAAGGGCTACATGTCAACAGTTCAACTCAGACAGAAACCTAAATTCGATACTGCGCTCAACATAAAAAGTAGTCACTAGAGGCGTCAAAACATCATGTGCTTGTTTTCACCCTGTTCAACCCATCCATAACGGATGGCACCATAAATCGCTCAAATTCTTGTGCTCTGTGTATTTACAAGAAAGGGAGCAGGGTAGTAAGGGTCCAGGCAGGGGGGAAAAGAGAAAAAGAGAACAGATTTCATCATCCTTTGCTGTGGTGGCAGCCTACACTAACTTCTCTAAATCAAATGTGTCATCCGTGGGACCGGTGTTTTTCCAACCACAATAATGTCCCATCAGACTGGCTTTGACCCAATCCAGAAAAACCTCTTTTGAAAACCCCCTAATGCGCTCTGTCCAAATTTGGTAGCACCCTCGTTGGTGGTCCCCTGGTGCCTCTTTGTGTGTGTGTTAGAGGGAGAGAGCGATAGAGAGAGAGCATGTGCGTGCGTGTGTGTGTGTGTGTGTGTGTGTGTGTGTGTGTGTGTGTGTGTGTGTTTTCATCTTTTCAGGAGGCTAGGTTGGGTGAGCCTTCAAAATATGCACTGCACCTGTCATGTGCCCATAGTGCGTAGAAAACAACATAAATTATGTTGACTCTCAACAAAACAATACATTTTCTTGTGTCACCAAGTTGCATGTAGGAGAACAGACAACACTCATCTATCCCTCTCTTCAGGCTCCCTTTAAAAACTGCAGGGATTGCATCTGGTCTGTTGACGTATGTCCACTTCAAGATCCGTCATCTGTGCTTATTAAACGGCTTCCTCGAGTGCTGTACATTTCCAGGAATAACAGGGTGCAGACTGCACAGCCACTTCCAAAACGAGGTAAAAACAAACATGCTTTTGCATCCTTAGCATACACAGTTATTTGTGTAAACAGTTAATGTTAAGAGATAAGATGATATCAGTACAAGTTTTATTATGTGAAGGGAACAACATTAGAGATGTTTTTGACGGTGCAAATGTGAACGTTTGTATAGTTTAAATTTGTGATTTTGAGCCAAACAACTGCTTTATTAAAAGAGGATCAAAACACCCCAATCACACAAGATAGTGTGACAATTTGGTGGTAGCAAATTCACAATTGTTTGTTAGTTTATCTAAAGAAGTAGTGCAAGTTAAATCCTAATAAGTTCAGCTGCAAAGAAAGAGCTGTTGAATATTTTTTTTAACTGGAATAGTTTTCAAGTAAATACTCCATTGCAGATTTAGTTGGTGTTGGTGTTGGTTAGGGCTGCAGCATATTAACCAGTTAACATCTGGGGTGACCAACAAGAGAATGTTATTGTTTGGCCACTTTATTTCACCTTAGACAGATTCACTCACAGATTAACAATTTGACAGAAAAAAAAGTAAATTTTTCAAATTAAATGACAGCTGTGCTAAGCTTCACTGGACATGTATTTCTTACCTCCAAGTTCTTTTACATTCAAGATGGCATTTGGAAATGGCACTGCTTTGATGCTGAAACCTGAGAGGAGAAAAATGAAAACCCATCATCATAGTGTAATGAAGAAATTGAGTGTGTGTGTATATGTGTGGACGGCACATGTTAGGAGAGAGAGTCAACTTTTAGGAATGTTGGCCGAGTTGCTTTTTAGAGAGTAAATGACTAAAAAATATCCAACTTAAAAAATGCACTTTTTCATTTTAGTCTTCCCAGGATATTTGGTGTACCTTCTGCAAACTACCAGCTGGTGAACACAAAGAGGATTTTCAACATACTTGTTTTGTAGAAATTAAATAACACTTTGTGTGGTCCGGGTTAGCAAAACAGAAAAACAAGAAAAGCTAAACAGAAAAGTGTTTTGTTCTATTTTGGAGTTAAACGAGGACTGAGCTAATGACTAAAGTGCTACCATGTATTATGTGGTTTTTGTCTGCGGTTGCATACAGTGGAAAATGGTAAAGAAACCCACTCAAGTAAAAGATTTAATGTAGCCCAAATTATGTGAAATTGTCTTGGGAATTCCTTTCCTGGTAACATTCAAAAACATCAGGAGAGATGGGGGACACAACTGATTATAATTTTCTTAACATCTGAATTAACTGTTAAATGTGGGTTTTAAGCACATTACAACAGTGCAAAATCATGAAGCAAGAAGTGGGGAGGGGGCCACAGGAGACTTCCCCCTCATTGTTCTTCATGATCTTCCCTCTGTAGATGTTGGCAGACGCAGATGGTGCTGACAGCTAAATCTTATTTCAGAGAAGTCCACCAAAATCTCTGCTAAGATAAGTAATCAACACATTTTATCTATTAAGGCCCACTCAGTGGCATGCACAGACAGGTGCTCACTACCTTGAACCACTGCCTGACACAGACACATACACACTAGCAGTTGCAGACAGAACATTTGGGAATTATTTTATATTTAGCTTCTTCTGGTGAAAGTGCACAATGACTAAACCTAAAATGGGATTTCTGCAACAGCTCAAAGCTGACTGCTGACAAAGCCAGGGGAGGAGAGAAGAATGTCGGTGTCCTTGAGGGATTGCATTGCGTATGGAAAGCACAGCGTTGACTACCAGGAGAATGATGTTCTAACCCTAAAGCCTCTTTCTCTGGACATACTTAACACCAGCCTCCCACTTGACTACAAGAAAGAAGGTGAGTATTGGCTAGTGAGATACAGCAGAGTGTTTCTGGCATGAGTGCTGGGAGTTTGAAAGACATACTGAAGACATGCTTCCCCCTATTGGCGAGCAGTAATACCTGGATAATATTATCTTCCTATGATTCTAATCCGGAGGACAACTTGTTCTTGAAACATGAAAGCATTTCAGAAGCTTGGAAAGCTTGCAAGGACAAATGTGAGGGAAGAGACTTGTGTATATCTGTGGAGGGAATGTGCTCCTATCTAAGGACACATATTTTTACTCTGAAAAAATGCCCTCTTTGCTGATTCATATGTTATGTGCATGTACCTGTTGTAGGAACGATGCCGTCGCTGCCCTCACTACAGAGGCGTGAGAGCAGGCTGGTCTTTCCAGCACCTGTCAGGCCAATGCACACCACATCATACTCCGGTCTTGGTGGTGGGGGTCCTTTACAGCACAGTGCCCGGAAACACTACAACAACAAAAAAAAAATAATGAATGCATTGGAAAACAAATCACATGCAAAAGGGAAGATAGGGTAGAGATTAAAATTCTGCATTTGGAATCACAACAACTTCTGCTATCCTTAAGATGAATACTCTTGGAATTGTGTTGTGTCTTTCCAACTCTGCAGGAAGATTCTCATGGACATTACAGCTGTCTTTATATGATGAAGCATTAAACCCACAACATGTCAAAAACAGGCCTGGTCTATGAAACACTTCCAGAGGAACAAAATATTTAACCATGATCCACCAAAGAGAGACAAAAATGACAAAGAATAAAACCACAAGATGTTTGACTTGTATGATTTGATGTAATCATGTCATAAAGAGTAAAAGTCTACATGAAAAAAAGATGTGAAAGGAAATCGCGTTAGGTGCATGCATCTAAGCACTGGTGCAACATGTTTTTGTCTGCAGTGTCTGTGTGTGTGTGTCGACCCTGTCTGATTGGGCCCTTATGGCGGCCAGAGGCAGACCTGTCACTCCATGAATCACGGCCTGGGACTGAGGGCCTGCTGTGAGACATTAAGGGGCAAATGCAGTGTGAACCGTGAATGAGATCTTTAAACTTGTGTGGAGAGATCAGTATCCAAAACTAAAAAGAGATCTCTTTTATTAGCAAGACAGGAACCAGTCTGGACAAGGCAGGGCAGACACAGACACACACACTCTTTCCCATCTACAATATCACATTTCAGGTGGAAGAACATCAACACAAGATTGCTTACTGCTCATGTCAGGGGACGACCCTGTTCAACACACTGCTACTCTGTTCAATCAAAGACTCTGACAGGAAGGAAAACACACGCAGTGTACATGAACTGCTGCACATCTGTGCGCACATTCTCCAGGTGTGCTTGGGCATGCCATTAAAAAGTAGACCTCAGTGAGGAGAGGCAGATATAAACAAATGAGAAGATAAACAAATATTCATTATCAACATTCAAGAATTTTTGGCAAATGTTCAAGAATTAGGCTTAGTTCAAGACTAAATGAATTCCTGTTGAAAATCAGATTTTATCTGCAGCTCACATTTTGTTTTGAGATTAATGATGCAAAATGAACAAGCTTTCTGCTCAGACTGGCAGTGACTGTTACGAGACCCAACCACTGCTCCTTTCAAATTGGAGGGGAACCAGGGAGCAGCAAACAGTGTTTCAGCCTCAATTCTTCCGCAGACCCCCAGACATAAGTGACCACCAGGGTCAGTTTTCAGAGCCGTGCCAAAACAGAGCTGCTGTTTGATGGAGATGTGGGGAATCTGCTTCAACAGAACCAGACGTTGGCTGAGCAACCCGACCCCCCCGACTCCTTGGTGAACCCGACAGTCTGCTCAAACAGGAAACATTCTCCTCTTCCAGAAAAACGGTAAGATCAGAAACACACGCGTGTCAGATGGGGGAACACATGTAAAAACTTGGTTTGATGAGGTCATTTTATTCTCTTTCTTGCTCCCTTCGCCTCTCTACCCCCCACCTACATTCCCTGAAGCAACATGTAAAGAATTCTGTAGAAGGCGAAATCTGCCCTTCAGCTGTCAATCCTCCAAGCTGTCAGTTGGGGTTGAGATGAGGAAGGGTGGAAGAACTGGAGTAGCAATGATGTTGCTATGATTTGGATGATTATTATTTATTCACCCACTTATAAAATTATTACAAGATCAGGTGTATATGACTAAGAAGGCAACAAAGAAGGCAGCTGTCTTCTTGGAATTGTGGGAGCAGACAATAAAAACTCCCACCACCTCTCCCACCACGTACAGTGCAGATTTCACAACGCTTACCAGAAGAGCATCCAGGGCCTGACCCTGGTGTCCCCATGTCCACAGTGGCCCCTGTGAGAAAGAAAGATGGGAGCTTCCACCTCTGGCCCTCTTTGACAGCACAAGATTGACGAGGAGAGTTTGGTCAAAAGGCTCACAGGAGAAAAATAAATATGTCCAAAGGCCTTTGCTTACCTGCCCCTCCCCTGTAAACCACACACTCAATGATCTGAGAGTCAGTGTGCTGCGTCACTGAGACTTAGAGCTCAAATAAGACTGTCCTATGATGACTACCTCCATAAATCTCCAAGGCATCCAGACGAACAGCTGAGATTAAAACTGGAAATTGAATTGAACGTACAGTCAACAGTTCCCCAAATTTTGTTGAGTGATTTACAGTAAGCTCAACCAACGTGGAAGTAAGTGAGTTATTCTCACATGTACTGTCACACAGAGAAACATGTGCCTATGGAGACTTATCATCTTTACTTCCTTGTTTATTAAGGCTACCATTAGGCCACCTGTGCATTAAAAAAGGGCAATCTTTAAGAAAAACAAATAAAACCTTGGCCCTCCTTGCCAAAACACTCCCCATAAAAAGTCTGCCATTCCTAGACTTTATCGATTGGTTGCCTCTTATAGGATTGGACATGTTTTAATTGTGCTTCACTGAAAGACCTGGCGAGACATTACCTCACTGTTGTTGTGAAAGCTGATTAGCTAGGCTTTATGTAAATGAGAAATGCTGCCGAATATAAATATCACTAAAGACATAGCCAGGCTGCATTTTTTCAGATTAAATGTCTCCTAAAAAGATGCATGACAGAAAGAAGGAAAAAACAGCCCCCCAGCCTCCAATTTGAAAAAGATGTCAAGAAATTTAATGGGTGACATAACTGGGCCTCCTGGCAGCAGACCAAAATTCAAGCACACAAGAACAGAAGCTGAAGACACTACTGCTGGTCTACTGGTGGTTGTGTAAGGATAGGTCAGGGCAGCTCCATAACTCTACAGATGCTGAACTTAACAGCATTTAGCCTTGTGGAAATGATGGAGGAGCCCATATTTAGAGACACTGATGGTAAGAAAAGAATGATTACCGCAGTTCCTTTTTCTCCAGTTTTTTCCTTCAAACAAAGTCTGCAGCTTGACAAACACCACCATGGAGCCTGCTGACCTTAACTGACAGTCAGCTGATTTGCATAATGTTAACACATCACATAAATAACATAAATATTTGGACTGTACATATATAGAAAACGATCAAGACACAGGGTTCAGCCACTACAAACTGGGGGTTCAACTGGAGTTGAAACATTCAGAAGAAATGTGTTTTGTCAGTGAGTCATAAGCCATGGTGTTGCAAACTCACCTGACGTAGTTGGACAGAACAGGAGCCAGGCTCTTTTTAGAAAACCACTTTGTATTTTTAGAGGTAATAAATGTGGGTTAGAGGGAGCCGCTACCACTGGAGCAGACTAGTTCATGTTTCACTCTCGTACTCTCTGGCTACCGTCAAGACACCACAGGACAAGAAAATGGGCAGTGGCATGACAGCATGTTCCAAATTGAGGCACCTCAACAAGCTTCCAGTTTCCTTGGACAGGTTTTCTCCTTGCTTCAGTTGTGAAATAACAACTAAACATTAGTGTCGTCAAAGGATACATGCAGCGTATGGCCTACAAATGTTCCTTCTGGGTATTTTGATATTCTCTGCCTAATTGGAAAGAATGATATGCTGCGTGTAGGTGCATTTTAATTTTCTGCTAAGGAACATACCTAAATGCTAATAGTAATAGAACACCAGCACTGTTTCTTCACAGTGCTAAAACATCTAAACAGGTGTGCAGCATCAACTTATGCTCTTGCTGGAAAACTCATTACAACTGCATAATTAGGCCATTGCCTTGCCCAGAAAAAGTTAGCAGTCTTTCAGGATCATTAACATCATTATATCGTAGTGTGTTTACCCAGATGTTTGGCTAACATTATCCATACAGTACATTTACATTACATTTACTCAATTGGCAGACACTTTAATCCAAAGCGACTTACAAGCGAGGGACATCATATCACATCACAAAAATAGCGAATTCTAGACTTACACACAGCTTCTTTGGTAGATGAGGTTCGATACAACAACATTACGCAGAAATACAGTAAGAAAGAGCTCACATTTCACTCCATGGACACTTCAGCAGGTGATTTATTACAAATTTGTTTCCAAAAATACCAATTATGTCAGGCTGAATCATAGAGAAATTTATTAACAGGGGTGAATAAGATATGAATTTTCCATATGAACTAATGGTGCAGCCATACAAAATAATATGAAATAGTTTGTGTATTCTTTCTGCTTCCTTCAGCACTCCTGTGTGTGTGGTATGTCCAAAGGTATGGAAAAAATGTTGACCTGCAAAGGTACTTTGAGGAAAACAAATGTATGGAAATATTGAGAACATGGTTTATCAGTGATAAATCAATGATTGACCTCTCTAATCTAATAATTCTGCCAATGGAAAACTCCAACAGGCAAGCAAATAAGGCATTCACATAAATTGCAGGATGTTCAGTGAGCATAAATCATCATCACCTGAACTGGGCTCACGTCTTTCCCACTTTTTGCACTTTGGCAAAAAAAGGGAGGGGCATTAATATGGAAACTATGACTGTGGATGGCCAGGATGTAGGTGTGGAAATGCTAATTCACGAGTACACTTTGTTTAGCATGAGCCTCAGACACACAAACTATGTCCACTAACAATAAAAACCAACGCAGTGGGTCATGTCCTTGCCTGTGGTGCAGCACACTTCCTCTTGAAAGGTAGAATACACATCAACTGATATGCTTGAACTGTTTGCACTCAGCCCAGCAATGGTGCTAATGAGTGTAATAATGCCTATTAAAAACTGCGGTATCACATTTAGCTCCAAGCATTTCCAATACTTAGGCACACCAAAAAGCAAGCCATGACTTCCTCCTTGGCTGCCAATGTACACAGGCTGGGTATCTTGATTTCCCGACAACAGTGGAGCTAGCAAAGGAAAGAGGAGGAGGGAGGAGAAAAGGGAAAGGACATCCGAGACACTGGTCTCTGGGAGTCACAGCCACCGTAGACAGACACAGGACACGGACGGGCAAGCAAGCCGTTTTTATTTTTCCAGACCAAGTGTCGGGACAACACTTGTGTGCAGGGCTCACGC